CGCGAAGGGCTGAGGGGGAGCCGACGTTGAGTGAGAGAGCGAGAGAGAATCGAGAGCGACGGTTCGTTGCGGGAGCGGGGTCGACGGTAGCGAGAGGAAGGGACACCGGTCGTCTTCGCCAGCACACAGTTACGCTATCCCCATCCCAGGTCCGCGCGCCAAAAGTGTCACGGCATTCAAACAACTCTGTTCTTGCCAAGGGGCGGTACAAAGGAAATGGTACCTGGTGGAACCGGCCATGGGGATCAGAGACCAAGAACGTTATCGCTACGGCATATTACACCGGTGGATTCATCACCCAAAATTTGTGCAAGTTTTTTTTGAATGCATATGAACGAGTAATGGTTATCTTGAACAAAATGTAATTTTTCAGAATTTTTACATTCCTTGATAATTTATTCTAGATAGCAATTGCGTTCACGGAGAATGACTGACGATATTTAACGCTGCGTGTCAGAGGAAGAACTGAAAAGACCTCATGGTGACTCCTACTTCGGGATGGACCAGGTGCTTTGAAGTGGTGAGCGGGGCAAAGGTACGATAATTTAAAAGCTTAAATAGTAAAAATAGTTCCACCTTTAATCTGCGAAACCACAAAGGATCAATGCCTGTAAGCGGGCAACGTTTTTGATAAGACAAACGCTAGTGTTCCGGGGTTAAAACTCTCATGGTAAAAAATGTTGGACGGATTCTATTTTCTTCCGCTCAACAGCACGCATGAGGCTATATAAAAACGAACGGTATTCCCGCCCAGGTCTAACGTACATGCTATAACTGTGCACTCTAATAACGCTAATTTTGAAATTTCAGAAGATAAACCCCGTGTTTGCGCGTGCTTTCTAGACTATCAGGGCTCAGTGCCCTGCAAGATTAAGACTCTTGGAGTATGATACACCCAGATCCTTAATAACTCCAGACACATTTATGTCCTGACCGTCAATGCTTAGTTGAGGTTTGTGGTCGTCCCCAACCACCGTGACTGAGCATTTATGCCAAGAAAGGAAAAGACGTCATGCGCAGTACCACTGGACAATTGCCTGTAGGTCGCTCTTTAGGAGTTCGCGCAAGATGTTACGATCTGCCGGCTTGCACCTGTATGCAACTTTCAGATTATAGGCATACATGTAAGACTTACTGTTCTGAAATAAATCTGACACGTCGTTAACAAAAAGACAAAATAGTAGCAGGTCGAGTACAGTACCCTGAATTACTCCGCTCCTCACACATGTACGGTTGAGGATAACATTGGAAATCTTTTATAATTCAGTATATATGAGGTATAGAGGCACAGCCTTTGAAAACCCTATTTACAGATAGACGTATGAAAAAAACATGCAGATATTTACATAGCAGTTATGCCAGTCATTGATAGCATGTAAATGTTTGACTATCAAGCATAAATTTATCTAGTCTTCTTTTGAAACTCTCGACGTTTTCCGCTAAGACAACGGAGTTCAGCAATTTGCTCCATCCCTCAACCTGCCGGTGGGAGAAGAATTTAGCCCACAAATCGAGTTTGGCATGTTTCGTCTTCAATTTGTATCGGTGCCCTCGAAGATTTGTCTATCGCGCCATTTCGAACAAATCGCCAAACTGAAGAGCACAGTCTAGCCCTCGGATGATCCTGAAGGCCATGATCATATTCCCTCTGTACTGTCTATAAGAAAGAGGCCATGTAAGAGGATAAAAAATTGAGAAGTTTGCCGCCTATTCCGAAAGAGGAAAGTTTCAGGAGAAGAAAAAGCATGGTCAACACGATCAAAAGAATTAGTGAAATCGAAATATACCGTGTAAAGTGCAAAAACATTGTCTCCAGATTGGAGAACATGGTCAAAGAAAGAGAACTGACAATTTCCACAAGATGGAGCCTTGAGGAATCCATGCTGAGCAACACTCGTAAGGTTATTCTCTGTTAAGTGACACATCATCTTATCTTTGGAACGACCATACTCCGTCGTATCAATTCTCTGCCAACAGCACCCCGGGACTCTCCTGATCCAAGAGCGGCTGAGTCGTTTACTATTTGCTTCATATTGTTGGCTTGGTTAAAAAGCTTCTCATACACTTTTAAATACTTCGTGCCGTACCTAGAATACCTTGCATATCCTTCGAATTAAAAATGGGAGTCGACAAAACACCATCAGGACAATGTGCAAAAAACTCGCCCCAAGTGGGATTCGAACCCAGGTCCCGTCGTGATCGCCACTACACTATCGGCGCACGGCGAACGGACTGAAATAAATAAAGGAGCAAACATTATTCGTAGTACAAATGACTGCAAATCTGTATATATCGCTGTCAAGTCACCTCCCGCTAAACGAGCAAGGAGTCTAGTAAGCTGTATGGATATCAAATACGAAGACGAAGCCTGTACGACATGTTTCGGACTCCTTCAAAAATTTGCGGAAATGGAGAGGGAGATAAAGGGCCTTAAAGTGGAGATGGATAAGCTGAGGAATCTCCCTCGCTATTTATCCAAAGAGAATGAAAGCGAGCGAACATACGCAAACACGGCTTCCTCGGCTGTGTCGACGGAGGAGAAAGAAAATATTAGGTCGATAGAGCTTGATAGGAATGACACCCAGTGTCTTGTGCGAAAAAAGCGCGGTCAGACGCCATCTCAGCGAGCAAAAAGTAATCTCAGGGTACCTCGAAAAGGCACAGAGAGTCAGACGAGGGAACAAGATTTGGCCACGCCGCAGACGAAAATCGCGCCGCTGAAAACGAAAAATGATCAAAAGATCGTAGTAAACCGGCAGTCATGCGTTAGTCCTGCTGAATCAAACCTTTCTAAATCGGTGGAAGGTTGTAGCCGGGATGCACGCGATGAAGACTCTGTATGTATGATTATACCACAAGGCCGTCTAGTTGATCGCAGTTAATGCATCGTTATAAAGGGTATGCCTGAGTCTGTTTCCGACGCTCCAAAGGACAGAATACAACATGACATAGAAATATTCCAGGAATATCTCAAATCGATCTTAATAAGAGACGAAAAAGTCACAGTATTAAAGGCTTTCAGGATGGGCAAAATTAAAGACTCAAAACAAGATCCAGACCGACCGAGACCGGTAAAAATCGTCTTTGAGAATGACGAACAAACGCAGCTTCTTTTGAGCAGGAAAGCTGCGCTTAAACACGCCCATCCATCAGTTTTTGTTCAGCGGGACTTTTCACCCGCGGAGCGAGAAAAATGGAGGGGGCTCAAATTGGAAGTCCTCAGGCGGTCGAGTCTGGGCGAGACAAATCTCAGAATAGTGGACGGAAAATTTATACGCGTCATTCCTCTGGAGAAAGCCCATAAGTCTAACAGCTTAGGAATGACGGAAAGCAGTTCATCCCGATCAGCTCCGACCGGCTTTTGCATTCAATCCCAAGAAATGGATAAACGCCAGTATGCCGGAGTTGCTCGTGCCAAATTGAGATTTTTGTATACCAATGCTCAAAGTCTCGTTTCGAAAATCGACGAACTCAAAGCGATAGTACTGGAACAAATCCCCGACGTCATCGCCATAACGGAAACTTGGCTTAATGCCGAAATCATGGATGCTGAGATTTCGATACCGGGTTACCAGCTTTTTCTTAGAGACCGTCAAAATAGGCAGGACGGAGGGGTAGTCGTATATGTAAGGGAAGGAATTTCAGCAGTTGAAAGAGCCCACACCCTCTTCCTTGAATATGAATCCGTCTGGATAAAGATAAAGAAGAGCAATGCACAAAATCTAGAATTTCTGGCGATTTACAGACCACCAAATCTTCTGAGTGCAGCTAATGAGTCGCTCCTTGGTTTAGTCAAAGACGTAGCTAGCCAACTAGAGGTACTTATTGCTGGGGATTTCAACGCACCTGCAATAGAGTGGGAAACTATGGCAGTTAATGGTGGACCAGCCTCTTTCAGCAATAAGCTACTGGACCTCACACTCGATCTCCCTCTGGCACAACATGTGAAGGTACCAACAAGATTTCGAGAGAACCAGAGGGCAAATTGTCTAGACCTAGTTTTCACTAAAGACTTCTCTAATATCGACGAAGTTTATTCCAATGCACCTCTCGGGAAAAGTGACCATACTACGCTACTATGGGATTACTCGCTCTTCTCTAAACGCCAGAAAAGAACAGAGGGCCAAACTAATATATGGAAGGCAGATTTTAATATGATGAAGAACGAATTGCTGTCCGTGAATTGAGACCAAATACTCAGGGGAGATCCGGAGGACGACTGAAGATCTTTTAAAACGATTTCACTCGATCTGATTAGGCGCTGTTGTCCACCTAAGGTACAAAAAACAACTAGTTGACATGCTTGGTTAACTAGAGACCTAAGTAGGCAGCTACGGAAGAAAAGCAAAAGATGGAAAATATTCAGGGAAACTGCGTCACCAGCGCATTTCGAAGAATTTCGTCGTCAACGAAATGCCGTCAAAAAATGTATCCGTCAGGCACGGATGGAGTATGAATCCAAAATTATACGACAGGCTGAACAGAAACCTAAGATTTTATTTCACTATCTTAACAGTCGACTGAAAAATAAGGACCCGGTCGCGGTGCTGAAGTATGGTAATGGTGTAGAGATCACTGAAAACAGCGAGAAAGCCGAACACTTAGGACAGTATTTTGCCTCGGTTTTTACTAGAGAAACAGAGTTTCGCAGTCGCAGTGTTAGCAATGCTGTTGAGACTGCTGATCGCGTGCTTGACTCCATAATCTTCCCGACAGCTGTCGTGGAAAGGGAGCTGAAAAATCTCAAGGAAGCAAAGTCCTCGGGTCCAGACAATATACCGGCCAAATTCTTGAAGGAACTGGCGAATGAACTTTCCAAACCACTGGCGCACATCTTCCGCTCGTCATTCGAATTAGGAAGGTTGCCATCGGAATGGAAGACAGCAAATATCTTTCCGATATACAAGGGCGGGGCTCGCACTAATGCTAACAATTACCGGCCTGTTAGTCTAACCTGTATCTGCTGTAAAATAATGGAGGTCATAGTTAAGAAAGCAACTATGGAGTTCCTGGAGCAGGGCCATTTAATCTCAGACCTGCAGCACGGCTTTAGACAGAACCGCTCGTTTCTTTCCAGTTTATTGCTCTCGATGGAGCAGTGGGCTCGCGCACTGGACGAGGATGGGAGGGTTGATGTCATATACACAGACTTTAAGAAGGCGTTCGACAGCGTCCCACACAAACACCTAATCTACAAACTTTCTGAAATTTGGATAAGAGGAACGCTGCTGACATGGATAACAGATTTTCTTACCGGGAGATCGCAAACCGTGTGCATTGAGGCCTCAAGGTCAACTTCTTCTCCCGTTCTAAGTGGTGTACCCCAGGGCTCCGTCTTAGGGCCGTTGCTATTCCTGATTTACATTAACGACTGCGTCGACGACCTGGGATGCAGCGCCATCATGTTTGATGACGATGGTAAGCTGTGGAGACCCATCAGATCTGATGCAGACAGGTACGCGCTTCAAGACAGTCTCAACCGCCTAAACAGTTGGTCAGCTCGCTGGCTCCTCAATTTTAATGTGGACAAATGTGTGGTCCTGAGACTCCGCACCAGACGGACCAGTAAGGAGGACGATTCCTTTCAATACGTCCTTGGTGGTCAGCCCCTTTCAAATGTTGTGGAACAGAAAGACCTGGGCGTCCTAATGACCTCCTCGCTGAAACCATTATCACAATGTCAAAGGACAGCCAAAAGTGCGATAAGGGTGTTATTTGCGCTGAGGCGAGGATTTGTGCAGATCGATAAGGAGCTGTTCGGAAAAACCTATGGGGCATTCGTCCGGTCTCACTTATAGTATGCAGTCCAGGCCTGGCGACCGTGGTTAAAGAAAGATTATCAACGACTGGAAAGAGTACAGGCGATGGCTACGAAGATGGTCAAGAATCTTCATCATTTGCCTTACGAAACCAGGCTGACCGAACTAAATCTGTTTCCTCTAAATTACAGGCAACTGCGCGGCGATCTCATTCAAACCTACAGGATAGTCAGAAGCCGTGAGTGTGCCCTAGACTTTGATGAATTTTTTGAATTGGCCCGGACTGACCGTCTGCGTGGTCATCCGTTCAAACTGCAAAGGAAGCGGGCTCATTCGGACGTCCGACGGAACGCCTTCTCTCACAGGGTCATCGGGGCATGGAATGGACTCCCTGATGCCGTCGTTCTTTCCGAAAGTGTCAAATCCTTTAAGTGCAGACTAGACGCTCACTTGTTGAGAACCAACTGTACATACAATAATGATTGTTTTAGCGGCGGCAGTTTGCGCCTAGCTCACACTTACCGCTAACTTCTTAACTTTTCGCATTTGCTGATGTAATTGATGACTTTATTTCTGTTTATCGATATGAATAGGGAGCTCAAGGGCGAAAGCCTCATTCCCTTAATAAACTGAATTAAACTTGACTTAATATCTATAAGATCTTCGAAATTGCGTGGAGGGTGTTTATGGGCCGAAAGGCATCAAATGATGTAGATTGGCCATGCTCGGGAATGAGCAAAATGTGTGATTCCTACCACAAACTATAATAGGTTTCACTTTCAAAAGCGAGATTAGATATCTTGCACAGGACAGACGGGAAAATTTCATTTGCATCCGCTTTTAGAATGTTACCTGGGATACCATCAGGTCCAGCGCTATGAGACTGACGAATATGCAGAATCGCCACAGTCACATCCCACAGACTAAAAGTTATAGTTTCGAGAACTGTCCCGGTCAATGCTTGGATAGTCGGAGGCGGAGCGGCCGGGCTTTCAATAAACGTTTCGGACAGGAAAACCCTGAAACTATCAGCTTTCAACTGGGCATCTGCTATAGGATTCCCGAAGGCGTCTCGAAGAATAGGCTTCGGCGTCTTTCTGTGAGTTCGTACTTTTCGCGAGAAAAGTTAAGAGGTATTTAACGAGCGCTTTTCGGTGTATCGAGCCTCTTCGGCTACCAATTTTCTTCGAACAATCTCTTAGTTGAAGGGTCACAGAAAGTGCGATTACTGTCTCAGTTTTTTCAATCGGTTTTTACGGAAGAGTCCCTAGAAGACAACCAGAAGTTTGAAATGGACCGAGACAGCCGGGAGCTTCAAATGCGCCAAGATATTGCCGTCATTAAAACCGTCGCCTTTTCCGTGGAAGAAGTCAGACGAGTCCTCAGTCAAATAAAACCTGATAAGTCTCCTGGACCTGACGGAATTCCCGGGCTGATACTTAAGGAGCTATCAACGGAGCTGTCAAAGCCTCTTTCGACTCTCTCTGAGCTGTCAATGAGAACAGGAAGGCTGCCCTCACAGTGGAAGACAGCTAACCTCGTTCCATTGCATAAGGGAGGTAGCAGGATGACAGCAAGCAGCTTTCGACCTATTAGCTTAACTTGCCTCCCTTGCAAAACGATGGAAGCTATAGTAAAGAACGCTATACAGCAATTTTGTGAAGAAAATAACATCTTGCAGGATTTTCAACATGGCTTCCGGAGAGGACGTTCCTGCCTCTCAAATCTGCTAGCTTGTCTGGAAATCTGGACCAGGGCTCTAGAAGAGGGTTTTGAGGTCGATGTCGTGTACATCGATTTCCGCAAAGCTTTTGACACTGTCCCACACCAACGTCTTCTTCACAAATTTAGCGACATCGGCATCCGGGGAGATCTTCTGAACTGGATTAGGGCGTTTCTGGTTGGTCGGAAACAACGTGTCTGTATCGGGGATGATATGTCAGAATGGGTGAATGTGACCAGTGGTGTGCCGCAAGGCTCAGTTCTGGGACCATTGCTCTTCATCCTTTACGTTAACGACAGCCTTCAGGAACTCGACTGCGGCAAAATAATGTTTGCAGACGACGTTAAGCTCTGGCAAGTCATTAAGGGTCCGAATGATCAGAGATACCTTCAAGATAATCTGCACCGTGGTCGAAGAAATGGCTTCTAGATTTCAATGTGGAGAAGTGTCCCGTCCTTCATCTGCGTCCAACCAAATCTCATGCAAATGAGAGTCTGAGGACTTATCACCTGAGAGATATAAGGCTCCCCGCAGAATCTTCACAGAAGGATCTCGGGGTTTGGATACAGAACAACCTGAAACCAACACTGCAGTGCCATAAGGCTGCAAAAAACGCCATGGGAGTGCTGCATGCAATAAAAAGGGCCTTCGTAAATTTTGACCAAGACTTTTTTGGGAGAGTTTACGGCACATTTGTTCGGCCCCACTTAGAATATGGCATACAAGCATGGCGGCCATGGCTGGTAAAGGACCAAGCATGCCTCGAACGGGTACAACGGCGTGCAACAAAGCTGGTAAACGGTCTAAAAAGCCATTCCTACACAGACAGACTGAATTGCATTAATTTATTCCCTCTGTGTTACAGGCAGCAAAGAGGTGATCTTATCCTCGTCTACAAGATAATACATGGCCTTGAGTATGGACTTAAATTTGAGGACATGTTTCAGTGGGACCTTTCACCCAATCTTCGTGGTCACTCGATGAAGTTACGGACAACAATGTCCAGGCTGAATCTTCGTTCTGAATTTTTCACGCAGAGGGTAGTGGAGAAATGGAACGATCTCCCTCAGTCAGTCGTGGAGGCTACGTCCCTGCAACTCTTCAAGAAACGCTTGGATGATTATTTGTGTCCCCTGTTTTCCCTCGACGGTCTGAATCTGAACTAATACCCCTGGTCCCCACAAATATTTTCTCTGAGACAATGCTACTCAAATGAACCAAGTACTGTTTTAATAGTGATTATTTTTTGTTCGTGTACAGTTATTTCTAACGAGTTGACATGTAATCAATAGGGTTTTCAAAGGCTTTGCCTATTATCCTTACCAAATAAGCTGAAATAAACTGAAAAGTCCGCTCGAAAATTTCACAGATCGAGGCCAGAACGGAAGCGTCGTTCTCAGGTTGGAATTGACGCGAAATTCTGTGCAACCTACTGCGAAAGGGTAGGGGTAGGAAGACCTAATCCCCGACATTGATTGTTTTCTTGCAGGGGACAAAACGATAAATATGCGGATCCAACATTTCGTACAGTTCTGCAGTGCAAACATTTGCACCTGAACTTAGGAAGAAATCAGTCCAATCTTAGGAATTAAGATGTGTGAGCAATTCCATCGAACGAGCTGATCAGAAATCGAAGAAGGGACTATACTTTGAGGGCAAAAGTTTGTAAGCTTCGAGTTATAACGTTGAAACAACTATGTCATTGTTTCAGTCCCCGAGTGGGCCTAGGGATGACACTTGCAAAGGCATTCAACCTCTACAGAAAATTAGGTAAAGTATGCTTGATCCTCGGATGGGAAAATCAGGAACCTGAATCCACATCCCAACATCCGCAGACTCAAGAATGTCTTCGAACCTTCTGGGGCCGGAAGGCGGAGACCAGCGGATTTCAGGAAGATTGAAATCACCCGCACCCAATTGATAGTTAAAATTTAAGTCGGTCGAGCATGTCTGCATTCAATTAATGCTGTAATTCCTTCACACTTTTGTTTATTTTTTCTATTTGTATGTGTACAAATAGGGAGTTCAAAGGCGTACGCCAATTCCGTCAAATTCATTGACTGACTAACTGACCACGAAAATTCGCGAGTTCGCTGCATCCGTTTGGACAGTCCTTCTGTGTGGTGGTAAATGCTGGGCTGTACGCGTGCAAGATGAGCGAAAACTAGGGGTACCCGACCACCACTTCTTCAGGACCATCTACTTCGTCTCAAATGTGGAAGCCCGAACTCTCTGCGAAAACATCGTTAGGGTATTTTACGCCATTGAAGAAAAACGAATGCGGTGGTTTGAACTTGTTCTCCTTCGTCACCCTCAAAATCCTAGAATTTATGTCCTTGACCCAGCACGTTACTCACTTGGAGGCGTCAAAGAGGGCTGAACTCAGAAACTTGGCTTGACACAGTCCTTTACGACATAGAAGTGGTTGTCGGACGTTTGCTGTTTGGTCACCGTCGTTGATAATGAGAATTAACTGAGCTGTCCTGATCTGGTGCCGCTGATCGTCACGAGGAACGTTAACGAGGTCCCCTAAATCAGAATTAATTGCAAGCGCAACGAGTACGAGTAAGTATACTGTTTTAGACTGTCACGATGCTACGAAATGCAAACCCCGAAATCTACAGTTTAGGTTTTCGCAAGTACTTCGGTAATACATAATAGTTATTTGCCTCTTCTGTGTCGGCGGAAATAATCCAACATTCAAACGAGTTGATCTTGTTTTTTGTGACTTTGTCTTGTTTGTTGCACGAAACGTTTGCTTTCCTGATTATACCTCCCTTGTGTGTTTTTCATCCTTTCTTGTGTTTCTTTTCAATTTTCGGGAGCTTTTTACATTGTGGTTTAATCCACACAGGTGTGTGTTCCAGTCTTAACTTGCTTTTTAATGCGGTCTGATAGTTGACATTATTACTGCACCTTTGCGCTTGTGATTTTTCTTAAACGAGCCGTCCTGGCAAAAAGCTCCTAAACATAGGTTTTCTTCCTGCCATATAGTTTCTTCTTTGGATACTTTGCTAGTGTAAATTCTTGCAAGCGACAACAGGTCATTTTAGCGTCGTCGATTTTTGGATAGATTTTGGAATAAGTTTTATTACCTGAATCGACCGGCGTTTTAATTCACTGCCGGGTCACTTTGGTGCTGGATTTGAAGTTGCGTGCGCGTGATGGTTTGCCCTTTCCTGTTCTAATCATACTGTTTAGGGTATTGACATAAGCCACCGACATAAACGGAAGGTTATTAGACGCAATGCGAAGAGCGAAGATGTCTACCTCCGTCTTCTTGTCAAGCTCTACAAATTTCTGGCGCGTCGAACACATGCCAAGTTTAACAATATCATCAAGCGCCGTTTGATGATGAGCAGGACAAATCGCGCCCCAATGTCCTTGGCGAGACTGGCAAGACAGATGAAGAAACCCGGTCGCCAGGATAAAATTGCCGTTTGTTTGGGCACTGTTACTAATGATCTACGTATGATGGAAATTCCCAAAATGACTGTAAGTTATGACTCCGGCCTTGTGAATTCGACCAATATAATGGCCTTTTTCGTTGTTACCAGTCTGCTTGCAAAGTTTGCTATTGAAATCTCACTATTGACTGTGCCGACACAATTAGGGTCTGTTTACTCCGAAATCGACTTGTCATCCCTCCCGTCCGTTAGCTGGTGTGTCCTTTGCACCGCTCACCGTTCTGTGTGCTCGTATTTCGTAGGTTCCCCGTTCATGCCTGCACAGATAATCCTGTTGCCATCTCTGTTTATTCGGGCCTGGCGAAGGTTTTTGTAAGCATTTCGTCAGCTTCTAAGCCCACTATGCCGTTAGAAAACACCAGGGACCGTATTATCCTTTCTTTAGTAATTTACGACTAAGGTCTTGCTCGCTGACGTCCTCAATTTTTTTGCCTCTCAGGTGTGTGCCCTTCGCATCACAGATGCTGCTCGCAGTCGCATCCTGAAAGCTGGTGGTCATATCCTCACCGTTGACCAACTGGCTTTGAAAACGCCCCTTGGCAAAGGCACTATCCTCCTCCAAGGACCGCGCAAGGGACGCACTGCCTGTCGTCACTTCGGACCCGCTCCTGGCGTTCCTGGAAGCACAAGCAGACCATACGTGATCTCGAAGTCTCGCGAGCGCACCAATGTTAGGAGGACTCATTAACTTGTTAAATAGAGCGTCAGCGGACACCCCAGCTTACATTCTACTTAGAAGTTGTCGGTTTTGGGCCGTCATTCGTTGGGAGCCTTGCTTTTGGTTAGCCTTCCCATCCACTGGAAACCACGACGTTCTGCTCGCACTGGCCAGAAGCCCACCTGTCGAATGTTCTTTGGTGAGCTATCCGTCTGGCTACTTGTAAAGTACAAACGTTCGTGATCCACACTTACCGTTGAATGTGCAATTGATTATACCGCAGGAAACCTGGGGCCGGTATACGATCACACCTCTTGTGCCCTGCGCTTGCAATTACGTTAACTTTTGCGGATTCCGCGGGTGACTTATGTCGTCGACTGAGCATTTGAGGACCCCTCCGCCGGGCCTTGAGTGCCTTGATGGCGTTCGGCTAAGTTTGTACTCGGAGTGGATTTTTCGGCGTGTCGTCGGTTGGTCCGCCTGATACGACAAATGATGACGGCCAACCTGTTCTCTGGTCCTATGCCGCTTCCCCCTAGCGGGTTAGCTTGTTCCCGTCGTTTGTCTGTAACGGGTTGACCCCTTCGGCTTTGACAGTTTCCCCGCATCAATGGTAGGTGCGCTGTCAGCCTTGCGGGTAAAATTTGTGGCTTTATTCACATTTCACGGCCTGTCTTTGCGTCTTGCCGGTCGGTCTTCTAGTTCACGCCACGTGAAATCTGCGAGTCGATTGTGCTCTGCCACTTGCCGGGTCTAAGCACTGTTTTTGTAACTTGGCATTGTTCGTCGCGAAGGTTCATGGGCGCGCTTGTAGTGGTTCTATTGCTGATTAGTATTGTTACTACCGATTCCTTCTAAGGCCTCGTCCAGTTGCTCTAGATGGTGTGGTGCTGTTGCCGAGCGGATCAGGTGGACTCGACCAACTACTCTCAAGCTCTTGTGACCACTTATGTTTTGACGGCGTTTGTATAGCCAGGTTCTGAAACCACATCGCCTCCAGTTCTGCAGCGGCGTATGATTTTGCACGGCCCTACTATACACATGTTTTTGGCGACGACGTTACCCTACCCACCCCGGCCTTCCGAATTGGATGACCAGAGATGTCACAGCCAATGCACGCTGTATTATTGGAGACAGGGTTCACCTTGCTAGAGGGATCGTCGCGTGGTCGAAGATCCGTAGTCACGCCCTCGCTACTCGCATGGAAACCACTGGGAGTAATGGATTGTTTTCATTGGGGTTACAAAGTAAGTTTCGAGCGTTTGCAAAGCGAAGGGCAACCTACTTAGCTATCCTCGTCACCGGAGGCCATATTCTGTCGGTTGATGTAGCTTGGCAATCGGATCTCGGTGTTATCGTGGTTGAGACCAGTCGGTCTGACCACTATGAAGGCTTTAACGTAGTTGAGGATGCGTAGCTTTCCCCTGAGTATCAATTAACTGTCGGGGTGCAGCTTTACAGAGCGCCAGACTGAACTTTGAACGGAAGAAAGGCGTTACGGCTCAGGGCTCTGGTAGTGAGCTCACCTTGGGCAGG